ATGATACCCCTTCACAGATGGGATGCAGACTATGTCTCTCTTTCCAGGTCTAATAGGATGGGTTGATGCTGCTGGGTAAGGTGGTCTGGTAAGTACCTCATCCCCAGGTCATGAAGGGTTTTAAAGATAAGCCACAAGAACCTTGAACTGAAATCTAGAGACTTACTGGTAGCCAATGTAGCTCATGGAGGTGTCACATGCTGAATAATCAGCACCCATAACACCCAGCGCCATCACATTTTGCTCTAGCTAAAGCCTCAAAGTCCTCTTCAAGGGAGCCCATGTAGTTTATTTTAAGTGACAAAAACATAAATGACTGATAGAGTCTTGAAGAGGAGCCCACTGGGTGTCTCTTTATTAGCTCAACTACTCTACAACAGAACTGCTCTACAACATAGTTGTTCCTATGGGAATAAAATAATGGTAGAAATACCCCACCCCCAATGTACGTTGCCTCGAGCACTTAGAGAAAAGGGTAGGAATTAGATGTCACCAACCCAATATTTTTTACAAACTGAAAGTCTTCACATAATTTTGTATACCTAAATTGGACTGAGAAATACATTGCCTTAATATAGATTTTGGATTTATTCCTTCTCTTGCAGACAGCTGAGATGAATTTGCTTTTATATGTGTCTTTAGAACGTCTTATCCAAAACATCTTGATAATCTGACAAATAAAGCAAGCCCAGCTCCAACCGCCCAGTGGCCAAACACGTTCCCGGTATCTCTTGTCAAAATGAACCTTGAGTCAATGGGATGGAGAGATCACTTGTCATGAGATCTTGAGATTCACTGCCAGTTCTAGTAGCCAGGGCTAGGCTGGATGGATTCTGGACACGGAGCTCTCTGTTTTCCAATTCAAACAGAAAGGAACACCTTCCAGCTGTATTATGCACCCCCCCAAAAATACTCACTGCTGAAATCTGGCTGTGTGATTCACCACAGAAATTTGATAGTGCAGTTTGCCATCAGAATTAGGCAGTCAAATATTCTTCCCCTCCCCCAGTCTTTTAACCATATATCAGTTTGGATTTATTCTATTTGGGAGTGAAGGGAATGGCTGGCCTTTGATGGTCCTGCCTGCTTTATGGTTTCTCTGTCCAGTTGATGTAACCCATCCAGATTTTCTTGGTGTACCACTTATGGCCAAAAGAAAGTCCACAACTGGAAAACAGTTCTGCTGGGTTAAGAAAAGGATACAGCCCGTTCTTTGGAGCTCATCTTTAGTTTACTCCTTTGCCTTTTCTGGTTGCAGCCCCATTTCGCAGTGAACCAAACCTATATTATGGACATTTTTATTATTATGACAATAAAACACATTGTAGAAAAATTCTGAACACAGGCGAATGTGTCTAATTAAACTATTGGAGCTCCTTCAACAACCAACCAAGGAGATATGAAAGGAGTCTCTCCAAAGACTGGATTGGATTACTTTGGCAATTTTGGGCATCCCCTGGGCAAAGGTATTGTCACAGGCAAATCCTGTCAATCCAGAAGCACCCTTTGGTTGGCTTTCTAGGTGCTTCTGACATGAATGCAGGCAGAAACAACCAACCAACACAGCCACTCCACTGGGGATGTTCCTTCTTCAGAGAAGGCTAGAAAGGAAAGAGTTAGCAGCAAAGAACAGCCAAGGCCTTACGTGGAGAGAGAACTGGACGGGACACAAATCTAAAAAAATACATGTCTTTTAATTTAATTTTATTTAAATATGTAAAACTGTTGCTATTGGCTGGCAACGCCAAGTCTTGGCCAAGAGTAATATGTGGCTTTCAGAGTCAAGGGCTGCTTTTAGACACGCCAGCAGGGTATCAGGTAGGATACCCAGGGCATGAGGCTTCATTCACAAGTAACATCTTCGGTTTAAGCTCCTTCACAAACTATATAGAGTAGAAGAAGGAAGCTGGGAAAGAAAGTTTGTCTTATCTATAAGCCCAGTTCCAGATGTTGTTTCTGCTATCTGTAGCAGCCTAGCCTGCCAGTGGTGCAGCTGTTGGAAGAAGCAGCAAGATCACTGTTTCTGCTTTCTTTTTTCAGTGAGAAGGAACTGAGACTAGGATAATTATCAGAAGGATTGATGGGCAGTTGCATGAAGGGGCGATGCACAAAGTGATTGGAAGGACGGCAAGAGGGGGTGTGGGAAAGTTGGCTTCTTGATCCAAATTGGGAGGATACTTAATGCTAGAAGAGTAGCCTTTCCTCCTCTCCAAGACAAAAGATTCTGAAAACTTGTCTATTACCTACCAATCCATTTCCCTTTGCATTTCACATTTTTCTGTTTATGTTGTCTTCAAAGAAAGTTTCGTGCTTCTACTTTACTGTTAGCTCCTGTGAACCTTTCAGTTTAAGGGGCTAGCAATTAACATTTTTACTTTGTGGTAAGACTTCCTGGCACAGACACTGGCCCAAAGAGGGCTTATATATTTAGCACCCTTTTACCAAAAGCAATCAGCCAGTCCTGGCATCAGAAACAGATCCTTGTGCATTTAGGTTTTATGCATACTGCATACTTTGAAAGTCAAGCAAGTAAGGGATATACACTTCTTGCAATACAAAAGTGTTTTCCTTTGGATTCATTCCTTCTTGACTGAAATTGTTTGAGGATCTTGATTCAGAGACCTTTAAGACATGGCCCACTTTGTTTAGTCAAGGTGACCGGCCAACAGGATTGTCTCATTCATTCTTATGCCACATTAGCACCCTCCATAATCTGTGGAACAAGTATAAAAAGTTTCCTGAAAGTTAATACTGTTGCCCTAAAACAGCATTTCCCAACCTGGCTGCTCTCTAGACATATAGATTTCAATATCCAGAATTCTTGCACATCAGCAATCTTTGCCTGAAAGCTTTTTCTGGAAACAAAAACATGTTTTCTTGGTAAAAGGCTGAATTGCCTTTCTTTATGGTCCTCAAAGGAGATCCAGTATCAATAGCTAGAAGAAAGAGGCATACAACTCCAGTGGAATGCCTGCCCAGAACTTGTTCAGGACAGAAGGAGAAAACACAGGAAAAGTTGTATCTTGGGAAGCTGGAAGGCTGTGGTTCCTGGCATCCTTGCAACTATTGGTTTCCTCCATTTCTCAAACTTGGAAACGTGGGATGAGGGGAAGGAGGGAGGAAGAAGCTTGGGGCTTTCTCGTAGATCAGTCTTAAGGTGTTTGATGCCTAAATCAAAGCTAGTTTAATGAAAAATAGGACTAGAGTTGACACAATAGTAGTGCTCCAACATTTGGGGGGCTGCCATAAAGAAGAGGGAAGGGGGATTAACTATTTTCCAAAGTACCTGAAGGTAGGACAAGAAGCAAAGGAGGAAAGCTAATCAAGGAGAAGACCAACCTAGAACTAAGAATAAATTTCCTGACAACGTGAACAATAAACCAGTGGAATGGCTTGCCTTCAAAAGTGGTGGATGCTCCATCGCTGGAGGCTTTTAAAAAGAGGCTGGACAGCCCTTGCTCTAAAATGATGTAGGGTCCCCTGATTGAGCAGGGGGTCAGACTCGAAGACCTCCAACGTCCTTTCTAACTCTGTTGTTCTACATTCTAAATTCCCTTTCCTCCATTGGGACCCTACTGACTGTCTAAAGCTTTGTCCAGACTGAATTTCCCAGAACCCGGCTTGGTAAATTTTCCTCCTTTCTGCCACAAGTGCCCAATGCTGGGAAAGCAAGCATCAATTGCTTTCCTGTCTGGATTATCTTCAGGGACATGTGGTTTCTACTAACAGACCTTTATGTTGATTCCCCCTTGTACTAAATACTTTCCTACTTGGGGCATAGTTCAGTGGACCAATAAAAAGTCAAAAAGTCACCAGAAAAGCAAAGACAAGAAAACAAGAGTTGTAACCTTGTCACTTGGACTAGAAGGAAAACTGAAAAGAACTCTTGTCAATTTTGCATAGCTAGTCCTTGGTTAATAGCTGCCCTGTTTAGTGACCATTCAAACTTACAATACCACTGATAAACTAATATTACTGTTGGTTTCAAACTAGTGACAGTCATAGAATCACTATTCACAGTCTTCACACTTGGCATTCAACGGGCAAAATCAATGGAGAAGCCAAGCCAGCAAGTAGTCGCAAGTTCCAATAATGTAACACTGCTTTTAACAACTTGTGATGAGTTGCTTAACGACTGCAGTGGAACTGACATTGAAAATTGTGATGTGATGTTTCACTTAACAATCATGACAGAGTTGCAGATCTCAGTTGCCGTTGCAAAATGAAGACAACCTGTAGTTAGAAAAGGCATTCACCTTTCATCCTTCCTTCAGTTAACTTGCAAAAAAGTGTTCACCGTAACCCAGAACAATGACCCTAAGGAGAGAATGTCCCCACAACAGTGTATAGTAGCCAACCAGGCAGTACGACTTGAGGTTTCATAAGTGGAAAACACTATTTAACATGGAGGAGGAAATTGTAAGAGTTTCCATAATGGCACAGTGGTTAGAACACAGTATTGCAGCCTATCTTGGTCCACAGTCAGGAGTTCAGTCCTGACTGGCTCAAAGTTTAGTCAGCCTTCCATCCTTCTGAGGTTGGTAAAATGAGGACCCAGATTGTTAGGGGCAATATGATGACTTGCTTAGAGGACTGTAAACGGCTTAAAGAGGACTCCAAAGTACTATGGAGCGGTATATAAGTCTAAGAACTATTGTTATTGCTATTCCTTCAACAGACTGGGGATGATCCTGTGCCTTCAAGAAACAGTTCAATTGAGTCAATTATTTTTTAATTGTATGTACATTTACACTCACATTTTGATAAAAACACAAGAAATAAAAATATGAAATATAAAATATTACATATTTATGTCTATACTACAGATACATTTTAATGATTTTTTGAGGTAATTTGATTATACAAATCAACCAACTCAGAGGCACTGAGATGAACCATACATTAGAGTAAAAAAGCAAAACATGATATTATCTCCTTCTTCCCCTACAACAGCTGGATTGGATTCTCATGAAGACATGATATTCCGGCTTTTTCAGCAGGCCCTTCGCCGAGTGGTTTGTAACCTGCTCCTTGCTGTATGCTCTCTATGGGTTGTAACTAGTGGTTCCCAACATAGTGGTTATTTGTTCTGATTTGCTTTTTAAAAAATATCATTATTTAAATATATTGGCTGCCCAACTCCAATAGACTTTACTTTTTCTTCTTCCTTTGTTGTTGAATTTAGTTGCTTTTATTTTGTAAGATGTGCAGAGTTGCCACTGTGCTTGAGGCAACCTAGCAGTCGGTTAAATAAATGGACAAAGAAAAACCCTCTTCCGTCACCAGAGTGAGACTCTCAGGCAGCCGTGTATATCTGTCTGCCTCTCAGAAGGAATGGGAAGCTGGTAGCAAAAGAATGCTGATCCCAGAGTAATTGTTTTAAGAGAAAGCTGGACCATTTGAAGGATGTATCAAAAGCTGGAGCAGAAGGAAAATGTTACCCATTTTGGGGTCCAGATATGAAATAGAGGGCTGTAAAGAGCTATTAAATTAAACAAGAGTAGTTCTTTTGTTCACAAACAATCCTGTCTTTTTCCCCCAAGGCAAAAATGTTGTTACTGCCTGCTGAAGGTGCAAAGAAGGGTAGTTATGCTGAAACACAAAGGAGGATGATTGAAAGATGATGTGAAGTGTGAATTCCTGAAGTTGAGCTGCTATGGTTGACCTTCCTAGTCCGTTGTGTTGTCTGGTGCCCCAGAAGGCTTAAAAATACGTCAGACTCACACAATGGTTTTGCAGGTTTTTCTGTCCCCTACCCTTCCTTGCCATGTCATTAACCAATTCAGGACTATATTTTTGTCAGACCAATGGGGAGAAATCAAAAGATAGGAAGTTTCGGTAACCCCCTGACCTTCCAGTGCAGAGGCTGGGAACAAAAAGCAAAGGTTAAAACTAACAAAGTTCAGCCTTTAATTCCTTGGTTAGAAGTGTTCTATAAACATACTCCAAGTGAAATTTTTTTGTCGTTCATTCTACAGCAAATTTGGGAATAAAAAGGCTTTTTTAACTAGCTGGCATGGTGAAAGTTTGATAAGAATATCAATAATGTTATTTTATACTAAAACTATTTTATCTGATCATATTACATCATTTTTCTAACAAAAAGAAGTGCGTGCATTACAATCTTTGCAGGTTAAAAACCAACTCCCTAAAATTCACCTTGGTATGATGTTCCTTCGTTTTTGCTCTCACAGTGTTTGTTCATCTTTTCTGTGTTAGAAAAACACTGACCATATTCTTTTCCTGTTTTCCATTTGTAGCGCCTTGTTCAAATATGAGAGTATGTTATCCAATCTACAGTTATCTCCTTTTTTCCTGGGTAACAGTAGACAATGCCAACTGATAGCAGGATTTCTGGAAAGGAGAGCTGGTAAGAAAAAGCTTTCAAGATTGCTGTCAGCTCTTTGAGGTCGGCCAAAACAGTCACAACAGGGAAACCAGGAATATAGTAATGAAGTAGAATAATTGAATCTTGAAAGCCTGCCCGTTTTTCATTGTCCCATATTATAATCAAAGTGGGGCTATTTTGAGCTCTTTCTCCTTTTTTCCTTCTATCTCAGAACTAAAATTTCTGTCCACTTTTAAACAGCTCGCTTCTTCTCTCCTTGTTCTCTCATAACTTTCCCAAGGCCAGTTTTAAATTCCTTTACAATTTCTACACTAAGGTAATGTTCTCAAGACGTATCTTAGCAGGGAAGAAAATTTGGGCCATTGGCTATTTACCAGTCACTTAGCATCTTAAAATATTCCATCCACCAATAGCAACAATACGTTTGTTTACTCAACCAGAATCTCTATGAGACTTAGAACAATGTATCATGATACCAACAAGACTCCCAAGGACTGAGTAATAATAAGGATTGCTAGTGGAAACATGAACAAAAAGCACCTGCTTTCCATATCTGACAACGTTTATGGCTATCGACCTAGAGTTAAATGAGTAAGATGCAGCTTTGTTGAAACCACTCCCACTTAAATTAAAAAAAGAATCCATCATGGTGAGCATTTGAGAGAAGTCCTCACATGGAAGACTGTACTGAACCATCTTGGTTCATGGAGAGAGATAGCAAGGCAGAATGCCATCATCTCCGGTCTAAGACTCTATAGTGATCTTCGTGCTACCCAAACCCCAAAATTGAACGTATGGAGCCCACCTTGCCATATTTGCCAGCTCCTGTTCCAGCCTGTGCTCCATGCATCAGCCAACCATGAATCTTCATTCAGACAGAGCTCCACGGCCAAGGATAAAGAGCTCATTCAAATTGATCCTTGGGAGATAAATTTATCTTCCTCTGGAATTTTACAGAAATAGATGGAGAGCAAAAGGCCTAAGGCATCAAGTTTCAAAGGGATACTAGAGGCAACATGTGGAGCCAACAGGCCTTTAGAAGGAGGGTAGATGAGAAAGGAGGAGAAGGCGGGCAGATATCCCAATCCCTAAAGTTTTAGGGCCATGTAATTATCATTATGGTCCACTACACAGCCTTCCTCAAGCTGACAGTCTGCAAACATGCTGGGCTGCAATTTTCATAAATCACAGCATCATAGTTTCTTAGAATGAACACTGGAGAAGAGTAGGAGAATACATGAAGAATAGTTTCATTTCTGACAGTTGACTAGATAACATAATACATCCAACCACTACATGGAATTGGTACAAGGAAGGGTTAAGAGGGTTAAAATCGTTTTCCTTAATATGTTAGCTTTATTTAACCATAGGGAAGAGTTTTGTTTGTTAAAACCAAAGGGAAGAGAAGGGGAGGTTGTATCGGGGAACAGTAAAGAAAAAAGAAAAACCCAACACTCCCTTTATGTAACTGCAGCCAATTTACTCACCTATCCTGTGCAGCTGCATATTGTAAATTAAAACTTTGACCAACTTAATCCCAAATTCAATGCAGAGCTTTGATTCACTGCATCATGAGCTTCATGCCAAGCTTTTTGAAGCCACAGAAAAAACAAAAGGTGTTTCCCCACCACTATGATAATCCAGAAGCTCTTCTCCTAGATTTTAGCACTTGTGTATATAGCATTGCTGGGCTGGAGCGTGTAGGTGACACTTCAATTCCAAGAATTAGGAAAGAAGGCTTCATGATCTATGATTAGTTAGGGAGAGATCCCGGTGGCTGGTTTTCTGTAACATGCTTAACCACAAGACCTAGCAAATGCGTTTGTAAACTCAGATGAACCTCCATCTTATTTCCAAACAGGGAAATTTTTCATGGTTTTGAGAGAACTGCAATGTTGAAGGGCTAAAATGCTATCATTAGCTGATTGCACAGCTTAAGTGGACCAGCTCCTTGCCAAAACTATGGTCACAAGCCACAGTCATCCTCATCTTCAAAAAGGGAGACCCCCAGCCTAGTTGAAAATTACCGACCAATCTCTTTATGCTGCGTCACCTGTAAAGTCATGGAATCAATTATTAACCAATCCATCATCCTCCACTTAGAAACAAACAACTTACTCTCTAATAAACAATTTGGTTTTTTGGAAAAAACTATCTTGTAATCTGCAACTCTTACACTGCAAAAACATATGGACTACACAACTTGATCAGGGCAAAGCAATAGATGCAATCTACATAAACTTCTGTAAAGCCTTTATTCAATGGTACACGACAAATTACTCCTAACACTAAAATCTTACAGTATCTCTTGGCACCTGCATTAATGGATAGAAGCATTCCTGTCAAACAGACAACAAATGGTCAAAATTGGAAGCATCCTATCAAGTTCTGTACCTGTCAACAGTGGTGTCCCCCAAAGACAGTGTTCTAGGACCAACTCTTTTCATATTCTACACAAATGACCTCTGTGATCATATCAAGAGCAACTGCATTCTCTTTGCTGATGATGTAAAGCTATTCAACACCATAGACAATACTGCTACACTTCAAAAAGACCTTGACTATGTATCAGAATGGTCAAACAAATGGCAACTTCAAATCTCAACAAATAAATGCTCTATCCTACATATTGGCAAAAAAAATATCAGAAAATAAAATACAGGCTGAATAGTCAATGATCCAAACTCTGCTGATGATCCAAACTCTGTCAAGGATCTTGGAGTACTCATCTCAAATGACCTAAGTGCTAGAGCCCACTGTAACTACATAGCCAAAAAGGCGTTAAGAGTTGTTAACCTAATCTTACGTAGCTTTTTCTCTGGTAATATTACACTAATAACTAGAGCATACAAAACATTTGCTAGACCAATACTCAAATACAGCTCATCAGTCTGGAACCCACATTACATATCTGATATTAACACAGTTGAGAAAATCCAGAAATATTTCACAAGAAGAGTTCTCCACTCCTCTACTCATTGCAGAATATCTTATGCCACCAGACTCAAAATTCTAGACCTAGACAACCTAGAACTATGCCGCCTTCGGTCCAATCTAAGTATAGTATATAAAATCATACATTGCAATGTCCTACCTGTCAATGAATACTTCAGCTTCAACCATAACAACACTAGAGCAAACAATAAATACAAACTCAAGGTTAATCGCACTTGATTGCAGGAAATACGACTTCAGCAACAGAGTGGTCAATGTCTGGAATACTCTTCCTGAGTCTGTGGTTTTTTCCCCAAACCCCAAAAACTTTAACCTTAGACTGTCTACTATTGATCTCACCCCTTCACTAAGAGGTCTGTAGGAGGCATTCATAAGCGCACCAACGTGCCTACTGTCCCTGTCCTATTGTTTCTTTTATATATTTTTATTTTGCTTACATGTATCCATGTATTCATAGCTATGTTTTTACTTATACCTATTATCTTGTAAGCAATTGACAAATAAAAATAAATAAATAAAATAAAAATGAATAAAATAAAAATAAACTTAGCAATAGCACTTACTTATATACTACTTCACAGTGCTTCACAGCCCTCTCTAAGCGGTTTACAGAGCAAGGCAGCCGGACGTCAGCAGAAGCAGCCTGCAGTACTGCACTCTAACCACTGTGCCACCTCGATTTTTTAAAAAGAGGTTTGAGGTGGAAATAAGAGTACAAGATCAAGCAGAAGATTCCTGTTTCCACTTGATCCTTTTGAATGACTTATTCTCTGAATGACCCGGAATTTTTTTTTTTTTGGCCTATACTTTGTGTCTTTTTGTGCTTCTATCTCAACATTGAGATGTGACCTTTCTTTAATTGGAGTCGACCAAGTTATCTCCTGGAATTGCTTCCTCATTTTTCTTGGGACCCTTCAAGGCAAACATCTCTCGAATTTCCTCAAATCAGTGCAAGGGGTCCAAGTTTGGGCCATCAGCATCCCTTTCATGGTTCTTCAGAGTAAGTGAGCCCAGAGACTGGCACCCTTTTTGCATCCCTTCCAGTATGAAATTCCAGACTGGAAAAAGGAAACCTACCCCTTTAAATTCACAAAGCCAGACTCCTTATTTGCCACCTGAGATTACAGCAGGGGTGGGGAACTATGGTCCTTTTATGACTTGTGGACTTCAACTGCCAGAATTCCTGCGCCAGCCATGCTGGCAGAGAAATTCTGGGAGTTGAAGTCCACAAGTCATAAAAGGGCCATATTTCCCCACCTGTGGATTACAGGACGGTCCTTTTCTCTCCCCTCTATGCAAAAGCACCATTTGTGGTTGGTGTCTATAAACTTGACCCTTAGCTGACATCTCAGGATTTCTCCCCTTGGGATGTCCTCCGCCTTGCACCTTGCTGATTCACACCTACCCTGAGGGTTGTGTTGTGAGGTTCCTCTGTGTTTCCTTGTGGCTTCGGGCATTCCGGCAGCTGTGAGAGCTAAATTGGGCAAGAAGATCAATGTGTGCCATTTCTGGGCAAAGCTCTCACCCACAACACCCACCGCATGCTGGAAAACTTTGTGGGAGGAGTGAACCAAACCAAGAGCACACAATCCTTTGAGGTCGCCTAAATTCCACTGTGGGGAACTCTATGTAGGTTAGACAGGAGACCCACTTCTTTGCTCTCCACAGCACGGCTTAGGCTCCTCCCTTGTCCAGCTTTCTGGAAAGCGTGGTATTTTGCTTCCCCAGCTGCTCAGGCTTCACCTGAAAGGTCGATTGTGCTGTGTGGCTAGGGGAAAAAAAGTCATGCTGGATTTCATATCGCCATGGTTTTCCAAGGCAAGCTCAATTGAAAAGATTCCGCTGTCAAGGAAAATGTGACTGCTTGCTATTCACAGAGCAATTCACTCAATGATAACAGGGGTATGTTAATTTCATTCCCCTCCCATTAGGGGAGACCAAAGAGTCGAGGTGGTCGTTGCAACCATGCAAAATCCTGCCATTTTCACAGGCATGTATATTTTACACCCAGGCCATCTTAATTGTTTGGATCTCCCTGAAGATGTCCCTGCCTGCTATGTTGACATGGAGACATCTTCACCTTCCTTATATTCTCCAAACTGATGCCAGTTTTACCCTGAGTTCTCCTACCGCAACTCACCCCTGCCTGTTTTAATCCTTAAAAGTCTCCATTATAAATCTTATTTTGTGGAATGACAATTGGGAGGTTTCATGGTGTGATGTAGTGGAAATGTGGTACATTTATGCAGTACAGGTAGTCTTTAGCAACTGCCTCATTTAGCAATAATTAATTGTTACAACAGTGATGAAAATGTCACCTTGCAGATCTGTAAGCAAAAAAAAGCTGAAATATAGATAGGCCTCTTCATACGACCACAGCTGGGCCCAGAATCTTAATCTTTGAACAAAGCAATCATTAAGTGAAACACTTAACTGCTTCACTCAGTGATCACATTTCTGCTTCTGGCTTTCCCAGTTGTTGAGTTGGTGTTCTTCATTCATCTGTGAATCAGCAGAAAACTGCTTTCTGTTCCCATGGTTCAATATGGCCTCTGATAAAATTCACTGCAGCCACCTAGCTTCCCATTAAGACACTCTTTATCTCAGCAGCTTTAAGATGTGTGGACTGGGGAATTCTGGGAGTTGAAGTCACACCTTAAAGTTGCTGAGGTTGAAAAACATCGCATTAAGCTCAGGGGTGTCAAACTGGCGTCCTGTGGGAAGGATGCATCACGTGCAAATCACACCCACCCCAGCTCCATGAATGGAAAAAACATCGTGAAATGTCACATGATGGCAATGTGACGCTGTGAGTTTGACACCTGTGCATTAAGGTAATAGATGATAGGCCAGAAGATTTTACCTCTTTTGAGGTTGCCTTTAGACAGTGTTGGGATAAAAAACACTATTTTAACACCGATGCAGCTAAAGA